ACTTTGCTGGTATAGTTGGTAGAAATAAAAATGTTGCCACTGTCAGAGCCAAGCAGAGCATGTCACAGCACTATGCTTAACACTTTGGTCCAGTGGTTCTCACCTCAGCCACACAGTGGAATTAACTGGGTAGCTTCAAAAATACTGAAGCCTGAAGGGCACCCCAAAGAGTCTTATGTAATTGATTTGGGATGCTGAATCATCAGAAATGTTTAAAGCTCTTCAGGTGATTCTAAAGTGCAGCCAGAGTTGAGAACTATTGTTCTATGCAGAGTATTGTGTCTAAGCCACATAACTACCCTATGAGTTCAGTGCCATTATCTGTCCTTCCCCTATTTTTACAGAAAAGGAAATTGAGGTTTAGAAAGGTTACGTGACTCTTGGAGGGTACAGATCGAACACGGGGCAAAGCTAAGATTTGGATTTATGCAGCATGACTCTGAAGACCTCATCAATCATTGCCGCACTACTGAGCTACCACCCCACCTACTGAACGTGAAGAAGCACCTGGCATGGCCTCTAGTACGCAGAAGATGCTCCAAAATTGGTAGCTAATTTTGTTCTTTGCTTTGTAGCTTTTCTTTTCTCCATTCTCTGCTCTTCACAACCCCCAGACTAAAATATTGCTTGGAGTTCAGTAGGAATGAAGGATGGATAAGATTTAGAAATAAAATCAGGTTGGATCCAAGAAAAGTTATCCCTTTTCCCACACTTTCACTTTCCTAAATAACCTGGCCATGAGCACACACTTGCTTTCTGTTTAAAATATTTTTAGGTAATTATTACAGATATCATACTGAAAGTATCAGTTATCTGAGATATTTGTACCACCCCTTCTCAAGTCAATGTTTCATTTGCCTATGTCAATTTCTAGGCCTTGTCCATGAGCATGTATGGTTTTTGCATTTACAAAAACACAATATAATTATATGTTCAAATTTGTTCACATTATGCCATATATATATATATTTTTTTTCCAGAAGATAAGTCATAACTGAATTCAGTAGGCTAGTACAGCTCTGCAGATAATGAAGATAACTTTATCATATTACTGGGCCCAAGATGTTTTAATTAAAAGTTTCCTTCTTAACCATATGACTCATCAATCCCACTTCTCGGCAGTTATCCAAAGAAACTCAAAACACTAATTTAAAAAGATATATGCATCCCTATGTTTATTGCAGCATTGTTTGCGCTAGCTAAGATATGGAAGCATGCTAAGTGTCTGTTGATAGACGAATGGATAAAGAAGATGTGGTACGTATATACAATGGAAAGTTACTCAGCCATAAAAAAGAATGAAATGAAATTTTGCCATTTGCAACAACATGCATGGACCTAGAGGGTATTATGCTAAGCGGAATAAGAGATAGAAAGGCAAATATTATATGATTTCACTTATATGTAAAATCTAAAAAACAAAATAAACAAACAAACAAAACAGAAACAGTTTCTTCTCATAGATACAGAGAACAAATTGAAGATCTCTAGATGGGAGAGGAGTTGGGGGGCTGGGTGAAAAAAGTGAAGAAATTAAGAAGTACAAGTTGGCAGTTAAAAAATAATCACAGCGATGTAAAGTACAGCATAGAGAATATAGGCAATAATATTGTAATGACTACGTATAGTATCAGGTGGGTACTAGTCTTTTCAAGGGGGAGTGGAATCACCTTGTAAGTTATATAAATATCTAACCAATATGCCGTACATCTGAAACTAATATAATATTGAATGTCGATGGTAATAGAAAAATTTTTAAATTTTAAATAAAATATAAATAAAAGAAAAGGGAACTATCAACTCACAATTTTGCCATCTTGATTTTAAAAAAAATTCCCTCAGAAAAAAATAACAGTCTTGTTACTCTGAACGCTGATGTAAAATGTATAGCCACAGTTGAATGAAATGACATTTGCTTTCTTTTATTTGCTGTATATTTCTTGGTGCCCACACTTCTCCCTGGCACAAAGAGTTCAAAACATACTTGATATATGAACAAGTGATGTTTTTCTTGGCTGATCAGTGAAGTTGTAAAATAAGATTTCTTAGGGAGAGGGACAGAAGACTCCACACTTCGGCCTGAGAACAGAGCAGGGTGAACAAGAGCACAGCAGGCAGGCAAGCAGCCGGAAACCCATGGTAAAGGCCATCTACATTGGCCAGGAGGAAACATGTGGTTTCCTGAATTACACCCATTCAAGGCCATTAATTTTGAAGCATAACATATATAAACCATGTCAGAGATCCACAGCTGTTCCTTCAGTCACACATTGGAGTTATTTCAAAAGAGTTGCTTACAGTCCTGTGCTCCTCTCTCCCTGTGCACTACTCTTGGAAGGGGTATGGAGGTGGACGCAGCTGTAACAGGAAAATAAGGCCACAAAGAACTGGCATAGGTACACTTTAGAGAATGTCCGTAGAGGAGGATTCTTAAGCTAGAGTCCACTGGGCCTCCTCTGGGCACCAGAATAGAGCTTCAGGAAACTGAACACCCTGTAATTGGTGTAAATTGTGAGTGTGTGCAATTGTGTGGGTCTGTCTGTCTGTCTGTCTGTCTGGAGAGAAGACCTCAGATTTCTTCAGATTCTTGTGTCTTTTGGTTACAGGGCCTTTTCCTTCTTTCACTTCATCAACTCAAGTGGGGCTCTTCTAAAACCATCATTATTCATTAGGAGCTCGACGGGGAGATGAGAGGTCAGGAATGAGAGGGAGATGGTGGAAGACAAGGGAACTAACCATGTGGAAGGCCTTCTATTAATTGGATAGATGTGAAGGAATGAGAGAGTGCTCATCATACATAAAGACCTAAAAATGTTCATTCTGCTTCTTCTTGTTACTCTATGCAAACACTTTATGCTTTCTCAGCTTCATAACACCACTATGAGGTGAGAAAACAAAATCAGAGAACTTGAGTAAACTAACCCAGGGTCACACAGTTAGTGGTAGAGTTCAGAACTATCTAATTGCAAAGCTTAGACCCTTTCAGTCTGGAGGCAGCCTCTCTGGCTACACTTAAGGCTTTTACATCCAAAGCTCAAGACTCTTGCTATTTCTGTGCATCTGTCATCAGAACAGGCATTAAGCTTAAAAATGAACTTCTTCAAGCCAAGGCCTAATTTAGGTACCTTTGGCCTCAGTCATCCCACTCATATTCCACACACAAAACTAGATATCCTTTCCCAGGATATCAAGTGATTATTAAAGAGATAAACCATATTTATCAAAAGGGACTCCCTTGCCTCTATGACGCAGCCAAGTCAAATTCCAGAAGGGAAAAAATGTTTTCTAGTAGTCACAAACCAGAGTGAGAAAGCTTTATATCGAGTCTATTTTCTGGTTTCAAAATCCATGCTAAAAACTGCAGTTAAACATCAGCTACTAAAACATTCTTCCTAAAACACGTGAGAATCCTGCGAGTTGCACTGTACCGAGGACTTTTTATGTGTCTGCACTTCATGTGTTATTCCTATGCCTCAAAAGAGCCAAGCAGCCTGGACTGACGTTACTTCTTGAGAGGTTAAGCAAGTCCCTCAGGGTCACACGTGCAGTCATTAGCAGAATGAGGACTTGAACCCAGGTCTATCCGATGACAGCACGGGTGCTCTTAACCATAATCCTCCCACCATGTCAACACAGCCACTGTGATTCATGGTACCCAGGGCCAACATCTCCTTTGGTTTTCCCTGCAGCCACTTCCCCGAAATCTGGCCAGTCTCTTGGGAGGAGAAATCAAGATAGATGGACTCTACAAATAGAAGATCCAGGTTCCAGGAAAAGCTTTGCCACTTACTAGCTCTGTCACCTTGGCCAGATCACTTAACCTTTCAAGATCTCTGTTTCCTCACTTATGCGATGAAGATCATTGTTAATTGGTGCACCAAACCAGAATAGATTTCGACCTAAGCCTTAAATGTTAGGCAAATGTTAGTTACCTTTATCCCCTCCCGAACTCACTAATTCACTAGGTGGAAGCCCTTTCTCAGCCTCCCCACTGACTTCACCTTCAGCGTTCTTCTTGGCCACCACCAGAGTCCCACCACCGCCACCATCTCCTCGCACCCGCCTCCTCCCAAGTAGCTGCTGCTTAATTCTCCTTCATTTTAGTAGTTCCCTTGCCTCGCACAAGGGCTGGTCGAGGGTGCTCAGAATCTGGCTACTTTCCTTCCTTCCATCTCAGTCTGAGCACGAGAGTCTGTCTCTCCTCAGGACCCTGAGCGTCAGGACCAGCTCCTCGCTGGGCTGCTCCGCGCTGGGCAAAGGCAGTGCCGAGGGAGCAGCTAGCCGCGTGTCCCGCCCTTCGGGGAGGAGTGTGACCCGAGAGTTTAGATAGGAGGTGCCTGTTGTCTGCTACACCCGGCGGCTAGCCGAGCTTCCTCTGCGGCTCAGCCTCTCCTCCCGAGGCGCGCGCTGAGCAGCTGGGGGCCCCTCTGCACCCGGACGCTGGGGACCTGGCCGTCCCGCAGCCTCCACTCGGGCCCGCGGGCCGCCGGCCATGAGGCAGCCGTTCTACCGCTGCCAAAACACCACCTCGGTGGAGAAGAGCTACTCGGCAACGATGGGCTGGTTGCTCTTCAGCGCGGGCCTCCTAGGCAACCTGCTGGCTCTGGGGCTGCTGGCGCGCTCGGGGCTGGGGTCATGTCCGCTGCGCTCGCCGCGCCCGCCGCCTTCGGTCTTCTATGTGTTGGTGTGTGGTCTGACCATCACCGACTTGCTGGGCAAGTCCCTCGTGAGCCCCTTCGTGCTGGCAGCGTACGCGCAGAACCGGAGCCTGTGGGGGCTGGTGCCCAAGCCAGGCAGCTCGCTGTGCCAAGCCTTTGCCTTCATCATGTCCTTCTTCGGGCTCGCCTCGACGCTGCAGCTCCTGGCTATGGCCTTGGAGTGCTGGCTATCTTTGGGGCACCCCTTTTTCTACCGACAGTACATCACCCTGCGCCGGGGTGCACTAGTGGTGCCCGTCGTGGGCGCCTTCTGCCTGGCTTTCTGCGCGCTGCCCTTCGTGGGCTTCGGGAAGTTCGTGCAGTACTGCCCTGGCACCTGGTGCTTCATCCAGATGGTCCACGAAGAGCGCTCTCTGTCGGTGCTGGGCTACTCAGTGCTCTACGCCAGCCTCATGGCGCTACTAGTCCTCGCCACCGTGCTGTGCAACCTGAGCGCCATGCGCAACCTCTATGCGATGCACCGGCGGCTGCAGCGGCTTCCGCGCTCGGGTACCAGGGCCCGTGCGCAGCCCAGCGCCGGTGAGAAAGAGGCGTCCCCGCCGCCCCTGGAGGAGCTGGATCACCTCCTGCTGCTGGCCCTTATGACCGTGCTCTTCACCATGTGCTCCCTGCCTTTAATTGTGAGTCGCTCCTCGCCAAGGCTGAGGGGGCCTGGAGGGCGTCCCGTTGCGGGTGCGGGATGGAAAGGATGGGACGTGTTGGACGTGGTGCAAGAGAAGGTGCATCCTGGGCTAGGAGGGTTTGTTGCTGCGCTTCTCAGATCGAGTTCCCTCCCTTGACAACTGCGAGGAGATATAACCCAATTTGTTGAGCGAGAAGAGGGAAAGTCAGAGAAAGGAAGGGAGAGAGAGTCCAGTGGTGCCTCCTCAGCCCGGAGAACTCCACTTGGCAGAACTCCAGTTGGCTCTCATCTTCCTTCTGGGAAGATATGAGCTATTTTTGTGCCTCAGAACTTCGAGGAGCAGAACTTGGTTTTTCTTTGGCAATAGGAGTCCTCTCCTACTTCCCGATGGCTAGTTAATGTTTTATTTCGTTAGACCTGCCCACGATTTTAGTGGCATCAGAAATGGGAGAATGGCATCTGGGAGTTCTTCTCCCAGGTGTTGGCGTGGGAAGAGAATAAGGGAAGGTGTAATCTTGCTAGAATGATTTGCAGAGGTGAGTGACTAAACGTATAGGCTTGGTTTTTAAAAACTCATGCGTAAACTTTGAGGAGTCTGGACCCTGTTTCTGGTGCTGCTCCCGCGGGCAGTAGTGGTGACAGAGGCAGAGAGGCTGTTTGGACAGGCAGATGTGAAAGTAAGTTTCAGCCACTGATGTTTTGATAACCTGTCTTGACAGGTTGGTTTTGTTTCTATCTTGGCAAGCAAGGCGACATGAAAGCCATTATCTCGGGTTTCAATTTAGTAACGGGGGTGGTGGTAGAGATTAAATTACCCCATAGTTTTGAAGGTATTTCCTCCTGGGGTCCCAGCCAAGACACCTATGAATGTGGCTGAGGCTTGAGAAAACTTTTTCAGTATCACTCCTCTTCCTCTCCCTCATCTCCCAGTGTAATTGTTCAACATGAACAACATTTAAACAAATGTATTGTCTTTAGAGTCCTGAGACTTTCGTGAATAGGAGCGTTAAGTTTCTCATGATAACATTGCAATTTTGGATGTTAATTTCAAGGATGGATAAAGGTGATATGATGTGATTTTTCCTTAAATGAAGACC